TTTACGTTGAGCAAAACTAATACCGTGAACATATTTCTGCATATAACTAATCTTCTAACTATGAGCCGTTACACTAACTTTCATGACAGCAGTTATATGATAAATCTGGAAACGTAAGTTGATACAATGAAGACTAACATAGTTTCGAATAACCTCTATATGAATTCATGTTTCCATAGCTACTATTCGTTTATAAAAGTGCGTGAATGGTCGTCCTCGTAAAGCGTGTTTTCATGCTCTGAAGATGTCTGTCATGCTGGACAGTTCATCGCGGATTGGTTGGAATCGAAAGTCGGTTTGTCGGGGAATTCCTTGTGCAAATCCAATTCTAAAGATTCCCAAGAAATTCTTCTTCTTTAGGTACGCCTCATAATACAATCGAGGTCTTGCTTCAGAAATTGTATTTCATCAGAACAGGATTTTACTGCAATTTCAGCCTCAATTAAACTCGTCTCATCAGCGTACTTAACGAGAATATGAACCGAGTAGTGGTAGTTAGCGTCACACTACCATGGGTTTTTGTGGGCCGCATGACAACCGTGAAATTTAGAAGCGAGGCCTCTCTCATATCACAATTTATAGTGGACTGATGATAATACAAGAATATATACATCATTACAAGTAATGGCGTTATATATGCTCTAATTGAGTAAGAGTTTTAGATTTTCATTGATCCTAAATAAAGGAGTGAATACACTCTAGTTTGCCTAAGAGGATGAGTTGATTTTATCTCAATTTCTTTCAACTAAGAGGAAGCTAAATAGGTAGAGAAAGATCTTGTTCGTTTTTTCATATGATTCTCAGTATGTGTATTTGAGTGTGAGGGTGTGTGTGCTAGCATCTCGAAACACTTTTTTAAAAGCGAAAAATATTAGAGCAGAGCCTAATTTAAGTCCTGAATTATAAAGCTTTAATTAGCTGTAATGACGTAATCCTCTATGTGTTGAGTAATTGCCGAAATTGACAGAATTACTGAACAAATCTGAATGAGTAGTTCATACATAATTTCTTGCTCCAATTATTTACATTCAAAGTATTTCATATTGTGTTAATTTCAATAGCTTCTCTTATCCTGCCGTTAGTAGCAGACGTACCATAATCAGAATACCACTGCGCCTAAGACCAGTCTGCCTTGAATCGAACCTCTGTCCTGTGCTCAGCCACAGCTGCCCATTAAATTCAGTTGTCTTTACGAGCATTTTTGTGTATATATATATATATATAAATATGTAAATATGTAAACATGTATATACGAATAAAAGTTAGGTTTCGAGCACTTTCATGTTTCATAATTTCTAAGCTCACATGAATTTCAAGTGAAATTGTTTGGTGAATAAATATGAAGGTCGGTCCTACCAGAAGACAAAGGTGGATTCTTTTAACCATCTTTCGATTGGGCTTACTGAAACAGTCTTGTTGGCGCTGCTTTAGAGGCAATCTCTTTCGAGTGTTGTGAAGACTTGCATACGAAATGAAATGGCTGACGGTTTGAGTGAAGCAATATCTAAGATGAATAGGATAGTTCAGGTTTAGAATTTAAAAAACTTGGCTATTAGGATTCATCCGAGAGACCCTGTTTTCAAGTTAAATATTAATAAGGATAATTCTAACAAATTTTGCAAAGATAAGTCAATTAATTTATCCAGTACAGAGCTGGAGTATTGTGAGAATCTCATTTTGGAAAGAGGATTATATTTCACACTACCGAATGAAGTGAACCATTCTCCGGAAATTCTGATGAAGCTAATTAGCTTATTGGATAGATTTCCTGTACAAGTCAAGAATAGTTTGGAGCTGCAGGTAAGTCCTAACTTAGAACAGGTAGTCATGCAAAAGAAATCCTTTTTCCGAGCAGGGTATCTTGGAGGTTATTTCCTAATGATCTAAATGGTATGAAAGCCGATAAGGGTGGAGCAGAGAGAGGAAAAACGTGTGCATTAAATGACTTTGACACGCAAAGTCTTCAGTGAGAGAGTGTACGGAGGGACCCAAAGCTAGGCAGAATTAGTGGGGAAATGGAAAAGTGAAAAATGAATTCCTCTCTTTAAAGAGATGCTATGGCACCCTCGGCTTATGACCTTCCAAAGATGCATAAGGAGGGGATTTCCCTAGAATAATTATGAACAGTAAGGGTAATTTTATGCACAAAATCTCACTTTTTAGGCGGACAATTACGAAGAGTTAGTGAATTTTGTTTATTTTTTATTAGAAACTGTTATGAATTTGTTAAATTAGTGGGCCAGCAGAGTATTTCGGAAGACCACACACTAATAACTTTTGACATGGTATCAATGTATACGAATATTTCAGTTCAAGAGGTCATTCAGGCTCTAATAATCGCCCTGAAGGAACATTCATAGACTATGCAGTATAGCCTCATTTCCACGGTTTCCTAGCCTATCAATTGGTAGTACATACTTGACTTTTGATGGTAACTTTTATGAGCAGACGCAAACACTTGGATTGAGTACTTGCTGACCTCCGATTTTGGAGAAGTTTGAGCAACGCTTAATGTAAGAGACAACTTTGACTGATAAATTGTTTTTTGGATATATGCATGATTATTTTGCGAGTTGGCAGCATTGTAGGGACAGTTTAGATAATTTCCTACTTCCACTTAACCAGTGTGAAAGAAATATTAAGTTCACAATGAAATTAAAATAAAATAGCATACTACCACTTTGGATGATATGGTTATTAGGGAAGATGGTAAGGCAGAGATTTTTATGGGAAACTAGCATATGCTGATTCTGTTCTTAATTTTATTTCTAACCATAATTAGAAAAATAAGGCTGGAGTTTTAAAATCTATTATTATGAAGAGTATAAGACTAGTGGAGAAAAATCATTTGACCGAAGAGTTAATAAAACTGAAAGATTTAGTCCTGTAGAATAATTATTCTTTGGGCTTAATTAATAATAATATCTCTTTGATGATGAATCAATTTGCAGGCGGAGACTATTTGGTCAGAGTCTCATGTTTTCATCTTGTAAGAAGAAAAGAAAAGTAGCGAAGAGGAGGGAGATAAAGACAGATTTTCAAGAAACTCTGACACTTTCTTTGATTATGCCTTCTTTCAGAGAGAAGTATGACCCACTGCCAAGATCCGGCTGTTACAAGATTGCGCGATCTTGTGGTCGACCTGATGTTGGTGGGTCCTGTCGGCCGACCCATCAAACAGGAACAGAGAACAAAACGGCTTGTAAAGGCAGCTGGGTTGAACGGTCAAAGGTGGCTGAGCAGAGAGCGGAAACTGGACATGAGAGAGGATATCGAAATTAACGGATTGGAAAATACGTTGAATGTGGGTAATGGTTGTTAGGAGGATGAGTAAGCATAACTCAAGCTTGACGGAATGACTGCAAGAGGAAGTGTGTTGAATCGTCGTCCAAATGAAGACGACTCAACTTGTCAGCTCCGTGATGGCTCCAACCACGGCGAGCTCATCAACCAAAACAGACGTTCAGGGCTACGCAATCCAAAAAACTATGCTGCTCACTGGGCCATGAAACCTTAACAACCCAGACTAACGGGTATGGACTGGTGATTTAGTGAGCTGCCTTTCACACGTACAGGCTTACACCCCGTCAATTGTACCAGAGTTACTTACGGACTAACGCAGTTTCGGTCATGCTTTTTTCCTTGGGTCACTAAGCCATGATAACTCGGGGCTGAGGTTACGCTTTCTTCTAATTATTCAGAGTTATGGCTAGTTTTGCATACAGACGTTAAGCCGCATGCAGACATAAACACACTCGATCTGTATATAATTGTTTTCCGGTAATGAGTAATTATATGATATAACTTGAGGCAAGATTGAGTTCGAACTCTGACGATGCTCGTAATGTGACACGACGAACGAAAGCTCAGCTCGTCTTCGCCCGAAACGTTCGGGATGCCTCGTCGACTGCGTCCACCTGAACCACGTATTGAAGTCAAACGGCTGCGGCCTAACAGGAATAGGTCGTTGTCTTCTGGTGGGATTGACCGACGAATCACTTCTTCATACACTTCCATAGGAAATGAAAGTCTTCAGAATAATCTTATCTCACGAGATAAACCGGAATTGTTTTCTACAAGTTGTTTAACCTTGTTTTCGCAACTTGGTCAAATTGGTAGGAAGACGTAGAGGAACGCACCTTGTTCTGAGTCCATTGTATGCATAATTATTTCCAAAGTCGGACCGTGGATGCGGTACATTCCCAAACGTTTCGCCGGCATCGCAGTCGGCATCGTCAGTGAGTCCCGTCATTCGTAGCACCATATTACAACTCGTCAAATGGACAAGTGAAGCCGATCCTTTGACCAAACGTGTGCTA